ACCATGATGTGTTTAGTACGAACTGAAGAGAACTAGCGATGGGAATTTCGAATAGATCTCGCGATTTAAATCGTAATTGTGAAGGACCAGAAGATATGTGAAAGAGCCACTCCGAGCTGTACACTAGTGTCTCTCGTGTGTGTAAGAAAGATGCAAAAGTGTCTCTGTGAAACACACACCAGGGTGGGGAAAGGCACGTGTTGAAAGTAACGGGTCTCTGGCCTGGCTTCGGGAACATACCATTTACACTCTGACGGACGGAGTAAAATATGAACGTGTGGTGTGTGGCCATAAGATCGAGCGATTCACCGTCTCACTGGTGTGACTGATTCACTGACTAGCTGTGCTCTTTCACATATCTTCTGGTCTTCACAATACGATTTAATCGCGAGATCTATTCGAATCCCATCCTATTCTCTTCAGTCGTAACCTCTGGTTGACACTCCACTGCAAACTAATCCCGTTTTGTTAAAAAAAATCTCGCAGGTCAACAACAGTAAACTATATTCAGTACACGCAAATCATCAATCGTAATAACCCGAAGAAAAGGACAACATAAACTGACGACACCTTGAAAAAATGTGTGCAATCAATCCTCTGTCTGTAGTAGTAATGGTGGTTCTATTTCATTATACTGAGTTGTAGAGTTGCTGAGTTGAGTTTCATGAAAAATCACGAAATCGATCAATGTTAGACCCCTCAACCATTAGAAACCTGGAAGCATAGGATGGCCATGTCGTCCTAGGCGGATGCACACTGTTATTAACGAATAAATCTTACACACAGTACATAATTAATTTCAACCAAAGTTAACAAAATTAAATATTTTGGCAAACAGACTGATTCGCGTCATCACTTCAAAAACAAAATTGATTTCATGAAAATCGATTAGTTTAAATTTTGATTGAATTGAATACCCGATTCTAATCGATAAACTAATTTGTATTTCTTCTCAAACTTAAAAAAATCAATAATTTAACTTAAACTGACTAGCTTGTAGAGTTTATGATTTCGTACAAGTCAGTCAGTTGCAACGCAGAACTTCGTACGTATGTACATAAGTTCAGGTTGCCACGCCACATTAACACACAGACGCAAATGTCAAATCAAGTCCCATAGTGATAGAGATAGTAAAGGTATTAATGGTGATGAAGAAGACTAGGGTTCGAAGATATTATTCAAGAAGTATAATTCAGTCAGATAAGGTTAGAAAGACCAAGGTAGAGGTGCTGACGAATCCAGATGATTAGGATTTAAGAGAGCGTAACAAATGGATGCACTTGCGCCATTGCAAACGATTCTCAGCCATGTCGTTCAAGGTCTCTAACCATTGGTGACTTTCGTCTCGCTGACCCCAACCAGGTAGTCTACATCTACCAACATGACTCAGTCCATTTGTCAGTGACTTCATGGATTTCTGCCATGTTTTGGTTTGGCCGCCCCTAGCTTTCTTCCAACCTACTCCCACGCCACAAAACATAGCTCGTCGAGGCAGTCGGTGGTTAGGCATACGTAACACATGTCCCAACCACTTCATCTATTGATCTGCCATCCTTACGTAGTACTCGTTTCCTAACGACAGCATTACTTACTCGGTTGTCCCACGATATACGAGCAATGCTTCTAAGCCATCTATGATCGAATACTAGTAGTTTACGAACATTTTCTACTCTTAACGGTCATGTTGTTAATTTTACAAAGAACTTAGTTAACCACTGTCAAAAGTCAAGATTTTCAGACATGCTTACTTACACCTGGTACCCTGGTACCCTGGCATAGGTTGCCGACCAGAGGATTATTTTTCTGGTTAGAGTTTCTTTCCTGAGTTGAATTTCTTCAGGATGATGCCTAGGCTTCCTCCTCTATCCGGGCTTAGGACCGACAGTAACCCTAAAAAGGCTTCAAGACGCAGTTAAGATTTTTGGATTTATAAAGCAAACGATGAATTTATTTCTGTCATTCGGAATGCAAACTTTTGCATAGCTGGATAGCATCATTTGTTAAATAAGAAGGAAGTGATGCAAACTATTAGCAAAGCAAGAACAGTTGTTCATACAACTGAAAAACATCTAGAACTCAAAACAATGAACTCTATCAGCCAACATCAGAGAATCAGAATTTTTTAAGCATAAACACTGAGACTTCTACTCTCCAGTGTACTCGTTATCATCCAGTGTTCAAGAACTGCCATGAACACAGTTAGATACCGGCTCATTGTGGTCTAGACGTTAAGAGTTTACGCGTGAGACAGAAGGCCCTGGGTTCGATTCCTGATTCCTTGGTCGTGAATGCGCACTGGTGATGAGTCCCATAAGAGGACGAAACGTCCGTCTAAACAATTCTTCCAGGTTTCTGATGGCTGTCTAACAATGATCGATTGATAACTTCAATATTTATTGATCTGTCTTCTTTGAAACTGTGATTGTGTTGATTCCTTTAATCTCAGTAAATTAAACTGAATAATACTACTTTTTGTGAGCCATGTTTGAAGCATTTTTTTTCTGTTTAGAAAAGAGATAAAAGTTACAATTCAAACTATTTAGTGTAGTTTACTGAACATCGATTTCAGACTAGATTATTTGATTTCAAGAAATCATGTAAATTGTTGTAGTTATTGAGGATTTTCAATCAAATCGTTAGGGACGTTAGATCCTCGGAACTCACTTGATCAATGCCCTAGTTTTGGATTTTGTGTTTTCGCACATGATCCCATCAGGAAAATCCTTGACTGTTATTGATTGTTGATGTGTACGCTATGTTTGTGGCTCTCCCAAAGACGTTTCTATCATCTATAAATAAACTCGATTTGTGTGTTTGAGAACCTCCTATTTTCTGGGTGCTTGTAGAATACACTTTGTACGTCTAGTCAAGACTTCTCCCTCTACTTAGTGAGGCCTTGAGATGCTCGGATTAGAGTAGCCTATCGTGTGACTGGATCATTTGTCTTCACTCTCGTTTACCGTCTAAGGTGAACTTGTAATATCAATCAGGCATATCGATTGTTGAGCATAACGCAAATGACTTAACTCTTCTATCCCTCATACACATACAATGATAACATCAACAAACTCAAATCATGACAACCAGTAGGCCAAGAGATACACAAGTAAACAAGTAAGATTCTTAGTTCCGTCCAACACAATAAGCACCAATCGAATCATACTTGAAGTTCTAAAAGATATCCAAACTCTTGCATACCTGGACAGCATCATCTAGTATAAACAAGGAACGACAACATCAGAGAATCAGAATTTCCAAGCATCATAAACACTGAGACTTCTACACTTCACTGTGTACTCGTTATCATTCAGTGTTCAAGAACTGTCATCATCTTTTCTTCCCTTCTACTCCTCTTTCTTTGTTTTTCACAAATATGTGTCTAAATTTTGAATTATTTTTGGTTATTTATACACATGTGTAAACAATTTATTTGAATTCCAGCTCCAAATTTTTTGAACTTTAACTAAAACAAATATTTTACTTGTTTTATACAGCAGATTGCATAAAAAGGTTACGTCATATCAGAGTGCTAGTATAGTATGTTAGACAAATTTGACAAGTGGACTACTGCCTAAAAATTGTAAATTTTCCGATAATAATAATTACCGAAACAAATCCGTCAAACTGTCTGTCTATTTATTGATTTTGTACGGTTGTTACCGACAATGACAAGCCGAAAATGATTAATGATCTTTCGTTCAATGAAGGCGCATCTATAATATCGATTCAAACAAAATATTTATTAGTTTGTATACATGATATATATGACATTTAAAAAATGTTCAATGATATTTTGAATATTGAGCTTGAAAGGTCATTCAGAATTCAATTTTGAATATATATAAATATGTTAAATAGAATTTTGTACTATTTTTTAGAAAGGAATTTATAGTAACAACAATCTCAAGGTGAATGTAAACTCTGGTAAACAGGGAAAATTCAGTTAACTAACGATTCTTCTAATTAGGCAAAATATTGCATGTCTTGAAATTATGGAAACACTGAATAGCTGTTATGATCTGGGTATGGAACTTCTCAGTGACATTGTGCATCCACAAAGGCGAAGCAAAGTTGTATCAACATCTTAGTATGTTGACTCAGTGGCCTAAGAGGTTGAGAGTTCATGCACAAGGTTAAATTTCATAAATCAAACTCTCTTGTGTATACAACTCCATACATACTAAGACCAAAACGGCCATCCAGTGCTTCAAAGTTTCCATTGGTAGTCTAATATTGAAAACAGTGGTTCCCTTTGATAAATTTGAACAGAGAAATGAGAAGACATATTTTGTGAGATAGTGGTACCATTTCGTGCTTTCTCGTCAGTCACATACAAGCAACATGTTATTCGTGTGTAAATACAGCAGTTTTGAAGATAAGGTCAAAATTTCTTATTTAGCATGACGCATTCACTCACTAGAACCATGGTAAACAAAGGTCAACATACAGTTGTTTTTTGAACACATAAAGTTGGACTTTTCCGACCAATCAAGATAGCTTCGAGTAGTTTCAGTGTGTGTGTGGGTTTTGATGACATGTCACAACTCTAAAAGCTGATTTTGGGTCAATTTGATGACCACTCATCATTAGATGTTTTGCAATGGACGAGTCTGGGTTTCTTGATCGATTTTGAGATGATGGGCTAGGTTGATAAATCATGGATTTGATTAATCATTTTGGAATATGTTCTCCTATCCTGTCTTCCAGTCGGCGATCTGTCCTTACTGAGTAACTTTCCCCGCAGTTACATGTGAATTGGTAAATACAGTGGGATTTGGACTGAATTGGTCTTGGAGACTTGATTGGGGTAACTGAGATCGATTGAGTTGTTGTGATCAATTCATTGAATATTATCGTGATTGCTTTGTTGAAATTAATCAGCTTAGATAAGCATGATATTTTCCTTATAGCCAACTAATTTTTAATTAACTAAAACAATGTGGAATAAAAAATCACTCATCACAGTTTGTTAATTTTCCTAATTTTTTCACTTCATCTAGACTGAATGTCCAGATCCTCAACTATCATCAACACTTCGAAAACTTGGCAATGTAGCTTCGTCATTTGATTCTGTAGTTAGTCGAATTGAACAACTTGAAGTAAGTACATTGAAAACATTTTTGTTTGAGTGTTTGGTTTATTTAAATTGATATTTTATTTGCCAATATTAATTTTACTACTTACAAGTAGTAACTAATTAATTGATAAATAAATGTTTGAACATTGAATATTTTTGCGTCAAATTGTTTTTAAATTGAGTAATCATATTCTTATATAATATATTCAGTGTCCATTCAATTCAGAGTCATTATCAATGAAAAAAATACTGGGAAACAATTTCTTGTTGGTTGTTCCCAGTAAATATTCAAAATCTCTCATTAGGTCACGAAATCACATCACACATCAGTGATTTCTGTTTTCCACATGGATGACACAAATTGCATTCGGCCACGATTACATCAAATTCCCAACGATTATACCGGAGAAGGTGACAGGAAATTGATTTATATTTAATATTGCATAGAAGGCCAGAGGATACATACAGCCAATTAATTTAACGATTACTATTATATCTTATCATTTCTTATCTTTCTATCAACTTACTTTTGTACTCATTTGGGGTAATATATTACAAGAAATTTGTATCTTTTTATAATGTAAGCTGTTTTTCAATTATCAATTCCCATGTTTTTACAGATTGCTGTTCAACAACAAGACACATTTTCAGATAAGGTTAGTTGGAAAACTTGCCTCCACACACCGCACACACACACACACCTGCACACACACATACTCCTCAAGCAACAGAACATTTTATTATTGAAACTTACGTGTCTATGATTTGAATTTGTGATTGTTGTATTGATTGTAATGTTTTGTTGTAAATGCTTGTTCTAAATTAAAGTTAGGAGAGAGCTGTCTGTCAAAGATCGGTTTCATTGTTCACACAGTATTCAAGGAAACTTGGAAACAACGGGTGACATTTAAGTGGTTCTAGTTTGTAATTCATTAGTACACAGAAACATAACATCTGGGCTTTTTTACGGAGAGAAAAAGAATTTCCATTTAGATCAGTGAGTTGGAATACAGAATCATCTCTAGCATGGAACAATCAGGCTGTTGCTTTCATAAAGATGGATTTTTAGTTGGCTTATTAAGAAATTGATGCAACTCATTTTTACACAGTTGAAATCATTAATCAATCATCACTGTTAGACCACTATTTAAAACCTGGATGCACTGGAAGGCCATTTCGTCCTAGTCTGGGACTCATCAGAAGTGCGCATCAACGAATCCTGAAACTCACAGGACTCGAAACCGGGACCTTCGGTATTGTGCGCGAACGCCTAACCATCGGACCACTGGGCCGGCATCCAACGGTGTTAATGTCTAACTCTGATTGATCTGGGGATTTTGCGCGACCTCACCCATTTGTCTTTGGTAGTTACTGCCTACACCCAACAGGGTTGAACTCCACTGGTCACGTCTTCTACTAGAACTCCGAGAATTTCCTCACGAATCAAGTCAGTAGTGAGCACTGTTACGATATATTGGATGCCGGCCCAGTGGTCCGATGGTAAGGCGGTCACCTGCAATGCCGAAGGTCCCGGGTTCGAGTCCTGCGAGGGGCAGGAGTCGTGGATGCGCACTGCTGAGGTGTCCCATACTAGGACGAAATGGTCGTCCAGTGCTTCCAGGTTTCTAATGGTGGTCTAGCAACTCAGTTATTTCATCGATGAAATAGTCAACCGTGATGAGAGTGTGTATTGGTTATGCAACGTTCTGAATTGAATGAATGTCATAATTATGAGTGATTGTATGCTAAATTAATAACGTTTTAGTATAACGAAATTTATGTCTCTTGGAAAATGGCAGTAGGTCTAGAGGAGCTCCCGTGAGAGTTCATTGTCCACTAATCATAGTTATATTTTAAAAATATTTATGTATTTACTAATTTAGGCTGTTTTTGAATACCGATTCCCCTATTTTAGATGTCCATTCGACAACAAGATGAAATGTCAGATAAGGTTAGTTGAGATAAACTTGCCTGCGACCACACACATAAACACGCACACCAACACAAACACCCACATCCGTACACACATATTCAATCGGTCAGCAGAGCATTTTATTCAAACTTACTTACTTACGTGCCCATCATTTGAATCTGTGATTGTTATTTTGATTGCAATGTTTTGTTGTAAATGCTTGTTCTAAATTAAATTTAGGAGAGAGCTATTTGTCACAGATCGGTTTCATTTTTCCCACGGTATTAAAGGAAACTTGGAAACATCGGGTGACATTGAAGTGGTTCTAGTTTGTAACTCATGAGTAAACAGAAACAGAACATCTGGGCTCTTCGGCCAGCAAGAGAATTCCCATTTAGATTAGTGAGTTGGAATACAGAATCATCTCTAGCATGAAAAAATCAGGCTGTTGCTTTCATCAAGATGGATTTTTAGTTGGCTTATTAAGAAATTGATGCAACTCATTTTTACAAATTTGAAATCATTAATCAATCATCATTGTTAGACCACCATTATAAACCTGGAAGCACTGGACGGCCGTTTCGTCCTAGTATGGGATTCCTCAGCAGTGCGCATCCACGACTCCTGCTCCTCGCAGGATTCGAACCCGGGACCTTTGGCATTGTACTAGAACGCCTTACTATCGGACCACTGGGCCGGCATCCACCGGTGTTAATGTCTAACTCTGATTGATCTGGGGATTTTGCGCGACCTCACCCATTTGTCTTTGGTAGTTACTGCCTACACCCGACAGGGTTGAACTCCACTGGTCACATCTTCTCAACTAGAACTCCGAGAATTTCCTCACGAAGCTAGTCACTAGTGAGCACTGTTACGACATGTCGTGTGCCGGCCCAGTGGTCCGATGGTAAGGCGGTCACCTGCAATGCCGAAGGTCCCGGGTTCGAGTCCTGCGAGGGGCAGGAGTCGTGGATGCGCACTGCTGAGGTGTCCCATACTAGGACGAAATGGTCGTCCAGTGCTTCCAGGTTTCTAATGGTGGTCTAGCAACTCAGTTATTTCATCGATGAAATAGTCAACCGTGATGAGAGTGTGTATTGGTTATGCAACGTTTTGAATTGAATGAATGTCATAATTATGAGTGATTGTATGCTAAATTAATAACGTTTCAGTATAATGAAATTTATGTCTCTTGGAAACCAGCAGTAGGTCTAAAGGAGCTCCCATGAGAGTTCATTGTCCACTAATCATAGTTATATTTTAAAAATACTTGTGTGTTTACTAATTTAGGCTGTTTTTGAATACCGATTCCCCTATTTTAGATGTCCCTTCGACAACAAGATGAAATGTCAGATAAGGTTAGTTCATAAACTTGCCTGCGACCACACACATAAACACGCACACCAACACATACACACACATACTCAATCAGTCAACAGAGCAGTTTATTCAAACTCACTTATGTGTTCATGATTTGAATCTGTGATTGTTATTTTGATTGTGATGTTTTGATGCAAATGTTTGTTCTCCGTCGATCCCCATGTAGCTGGGGAGCTATCTGTCATGAATCGGTTTCATTTTAGTTTGTGTATGAATGGAGTTACTGGAGCACTATGTGATATTTTTCTCGTCTAAGCTCTTCGCCCATCAGTATACATCAATGACATGACGTAGAGAACTGGGACGTCCAGATTCTATGGCAAGTAAGAGTGTTTCCATATAGATAAGTAATCTTCAAGTTGAATTTCTGACGTTTCAGTGCGAAACTAATGCAGCATAGCTACTTCGTCGATGAAATTGTCATCAATGCTGATGACATTGTGTGACGGTTATGCAACGTTTTGACTTGATTGACTGTCATAATTATAAGTGATTGTATGCTAAATTAATAACGTTTCAGTATAACGAAATTTGTCTCTTGGAAACTGGTGTTGTGAATGAGAACACAGGTGGGACAACCGAATTGTAGTTAACGAAAATTACAGAGTTACTCAGTAAAATCGGAAAACCATATCGTAAATCGTTCATTTGCAAAAGATCAGTTCATCATATCGAACTGGACTGTTCCTGTTGCAAAACATCAATCCATTGTCACTATTCATGCGTTTGATACAAATTCCATTGTTTTCTAACTCTTCCTTTCTTGATCTTCCCCCCGTATTATGCTACCAGACTTTACGTTGACACTTACGTTATATACTACTTATAAGTAGTTCGCACCACAGCACCACAGTAGTAGGTCTAGATGAACTCCCGTGGGAGTTCATTGTCCACTAATCATAGTTATATTTTTAAAATATTTGTGTATTTACTAATTTAGGCTGTTTTTGAATACCGATTCCCCTATTTTAGATGTCCTTTCAACAAGATGAAATTTCAGACAAGGTTAGTTGATAATCTTGCCTCAGCCCACACACACATACTCCATCGGTCAACAGAGCATTTTATTCAAACTTACTTATGTGTTCATGATTTGTATCTGTGATTGTAATTTTGATTGTGATGTTTTGATATAAATGCTTGTTCTCCCTCGATCCATGTAGCGTGGAAGTTATCTGTAAAGAATCGGTTTCATATTAGTTAGTGTATGATTGGAGACTGGAAAACATTGGGTGATATTTTTCTGGATAACGTTTTTCGCTTATCAGCAGTCCACATCAGTGTGATATGATGTAGAGACCTTGGACCTCAAGGTTCTGTGGCAAAATTGAATGTTTCCATTTAGATATCAGGCTTTAAGTTAAATTTCTGAAGTTTCAGTGCGAAACTAATGCAGCTCAGCTACTTCTTCGATGATTTAGTCATAAATGCTGATGATATTGTGTGATGATTGTGCAACGTTTTGAATCGACTGCATGTCATTATTATGAGTGATTGTATGCTTCATTAATAGTAAGGCAGTACCAGAGATACTAGAAACCCAACCCTAACTTTATTCAGGCTTGAGGGACTCCTGGCGGAGTTTAGTTTCAAATTAATTAGGGTTATATTTTTGAAGATATTCATGCTGTACTAATTGTAAGCTGTTTTCAAATTCCAATTCCCCTCTGTTTTAGGTTTCCCTTGAACGACAAGGTACCATTTCAGATAAGGTTAGTTGAGAAACTTGCCTCCACACTCACACACACATACACAAACATACTCAACCAACGGAGCATTTTTTTTGATGCCTTTCGTGTACATGATTTGAATCTGTGCTTGTGGTTTTGAATGTGATATTTTGTTGTTGTAAATGCTTGTTCTACCCACACCATATAGGTATGTTATAGTCACGAATCAATACTATTATCAGTTAGAGTATGACTGAAAAACTGTACACACTGAGTGATGATGTTTACGTAGTTCCAAATTTTCGCTCATCGGTACACATACATAACACCATTTAGAGAAATATTACTTCTAAGTTCTATCACAGAGAAGTTCCTACATAGTTCACGATCGTCATGAGATATGAGATTCCAGCCTCCGACTCCTAACGGAGTCCACGCTGAGCACCTCACAGAAGTCCTGTAATGAAGCCATATAGTTGGTTGTCAAGACTTCACAGACTCACATTATCATAGACATCAAATACGCGACCATTTGTACACTAATACTAACAAGTCATAAATCAAATATCTATTAATTGCCTGTAGCTCAGTAATGAGACAACCTACAGACGGATCAATCTTCAATCATTCTTCAATGAAATTGAACAAACCACTTAAACAATATGGTTGACACAACAATATTTGTAGACAATTCAAACTATTATCTCACTAATTAATTGATATTTCAAGCTATTCTAATTCGTGAATAGTTATCAAATCTTAACATGAAGAAAACAGCCTTGGAGCTCATATATAGTCAATCACTTTATCGATTAGTGATTTTTTATCGTGCCTTAAACATTTCCGACCTTTTCATTAACCTACATCTGTCTATACTATACTGGTTAGCGATATTATTAGCCAATTCGTTTTTTATGGGATGAGGTCGCAGAACATACTGTCCAACAGACACTCCTGATTTATCCGAACAAGAGCGAGGCAGTATGCAAAGAGAGGGTCACGACAAATACAATTTTCCACTGATTACGTTTTTCAAGATACTGGTGTTTTGACTAATGTAATCTATTTTCACATACCGATTCCCCTGTTTCAGGTCTCTACTCTACAACAGGATACAATTTCAGATAAGGTTAGTTCAGAAACTTGCCTGAGCCAACACACACACACACCCACACCAACACACGTACACATAATCAATCGGTCAACAGAGCATTTTATTATTAAAACTCATTTACGTGTCCATGATTTGAATCTGTGATTGTTATTTTGATTGTGATGTTTTGATGAAAATCTTTGTTCTGACTCCGTCGATGTAGCGTGGAAACAATCTGTCACAAATCGGTTTCATTTTAGTCAAGGTATGAGTGGAAATCCCGAAACACTGGGTGATATTTATCTGGTTGTTAAGCTTTTCGCTCAACAGCAGTACACATCAATGACGTGATGTAGAAAACCGAAACATGTGGGTGCTGTGACATGTAGGAGTGTTTCCATTTAGTTAATTAAGCTTCAAGTAGAATTTCTGAGGTTTCGGTGCGAAACTAATGCAGCTCAGCTACTTCGTCCATGAAATAGTCATCAATAATGACTGCGTAATTGCTATTCTACGATTTGACTTGATTGAATGTAGTATTTATGAGTCAGTGTATGAAAAATCAATAATGTTGCGGTAACTCGGTCTCTTCATTAGACAAAGGAATGGAATCTCAAATTGCTGTGGACACAGTACTGGGAAATCCCAAAATGAAGCAAAGTGGTTGTCGAGTCATCTCAGACTCAATAAACCACATGCTGATAGACATCAATTACGCGACCATGGTACACTACAAATAAAAAGTCATAATTCGAATATCTATGAATAAGTTGCCTGTTTCTCACTGCCCAATGGTGGTAGTTTAAATTAATGACGTTAATTACTGAACAGTAAAACAAACGTACAACTTTATCTAGCCATAAACATTAACGATCTTCATATGAACCTACTTTCGTATTCGTTTTTCTGGTTAGCCTACATTGCTCGTGTATTGTGGGACAACCGTATTAGCAATGCTGTCTTTAGGAAACGAGTACTAGATAAGGATGGCAGATCAACAGGTGAAGTAATGAAACTTCATCAGTTGAGTTGGTTGGGACATGTGTTACGGATGCCCAACCACCGAATGCCTCGACGAGCTTTGATTCGTAGTGTAGGATAGGTTAGAAGAAAGTTAGGGGCAGCAAAATCAAAACATGGCACAAATCCATGAAGTCCTTGACAAGTGGACTGAGTCATGTTGGTAGATGTAGACTGTGTGGTTGGGGTCCGCGATACGATAGTCACCTATGGTTAGAGGAGATCTTCAATAACATGTCTCAAAATCGTTTTCAGTGGCGCAGTTGCATCCATTCTTTGTGTTCGACAAAATTCTAATGTGAATTTGTCATCACCTCTAACTTTCTCTTTCTAACCTTATCTCACTGAATTACACTTATTGAATAATATCTTGGAACCATAATCATCTCCATTACCAGTAATACTTCTACTATCTCTAACACTGTTGGATTTGAACTGACAGTTGCTTCTATGTGCAAACGTGGTATGTCAACCTGAACTGAAGTACTTACGTCCGAAGTTCTATGTTGTAACTGACCGACTGACTGACTTGTGCGTGTTAGTTATAGGGACTCCGCGAGAAGTTACGTTTCCACATAATGAGAGTTATATTGTGCTGATGATGTTGTTCAGTAGAAGAACAATGAAAGCTCCACAACCAAAACATCCAACTCAAAGAACCAAACACCATTACAATCATCCACCTGATCTTCAAATCTTCTACACCATCTCAAAATCCTATGAACGTGAGAGTTATATTTTACGATATTTCTCTATATTTGAAAATAAATGTAAGCTATTTTCAAATACTGATTCCCCTGTTTCAGGTCTCTATGCGACAACAAGATTCAATTTCAGATAAGGTTAGTTCAGAAACTTGCCTCCACACTCACACACACAAACACGCACATCCCTACACACATTCAATCGTTAAGCAGAGCATTTTATTGAAACGTACTTACGTGTCCATGATTTGAATCTGTGATTGTTATTTTGATTGTGATGTTTTGATGTAAATGTTTGTTAGCCGTCGGTCCATGTAGTGGGGCAGCTATCTGTCACAAATCGGTTTCATATTAGTTAGTGTATGAATGGAGACAAGAAAGCACTGGGTGAAATTTTTCCGGGTTTACCTTCAAGCCCATCAGTACACAGAACTGGAACATTTGTGTTCTGTGGCAAGAAAGAGTGTTTGAATTTAGATAAGTATGCTTCAAGTTGAATCTCTGTATTTAAGTCAGATATCTGGAGGTTCGATATTGAATACCCACCACAATCTAATTCCATACTCAAGCAGAGCCTATAGAATAGGGTCGCTAACACTTTTGCCCGACAATCCCTCATCATTTATACAAGCTTGACTGACACTGGAAGTAAGCTCAGAGGGGCTCCAGGAGTGGGATAATTTTCGACATATTTGGAGTAATATCTGACGATATTTCTCTGTATTCGTTCATTAATCTAAACTGTTTTCGAATACCGATTCCCCTGTTTCAGGTCTCCTCTATTCGACAACAAGATACAAGTACAGATAAGGTTAGTTGATAAACTTATCTGCGTCCACTGCTACACACACACACACACACACTCATACTCAACCAGCAGAGTATTTTATTCAAACTAACTTATGTGCCCATCATTTGAATCTGTGATTGTAATTTTGATTGCGATGTTTTGATGTAAATGCTTGTTCTCCGTCGGTCCATGTAGTGAGTAAGCCATCTGTCACGAATCCGTTACATATTAGTTAGTGTATGAATGGAGACACTGAAGAAACACTGTGTGATATTTTTCTGGTTTGAGCTTTAAGCTCATCAGTATTCATTCATGACAGGATGTAGAAAACCAGTACGTTCAGGTTCTGTGACAAGTAGGAGTGTTTCCATTTAGATAGGTAAGCTTCAAGTTTAATTTCTGTAGTTTTAGTGAGAAACTATTGCAGCTCAGCTATTTCTTCCATGAAATAGTCATCAGTGATTAAGACACTTTGTAATAATGATGAGTCATTTTATACCAACTGCATTACGTGGTGGTATTAAGCTTCCTAAATGATATTTTAGATTCCCAACCTCCAGTTTATTGTGGCTTGAAACCGGTAGTAGTTCTATAGAGACTCCATGCGTAGTTCATTTTCCACTAATAAGGGTTATACATCGCGTTGTTTGTACTTCACTAATGTAATCTGTTTTCGAATTCCAATTCTCCCCATGTTTTAGGTTGCCCTACAACGACAAGGTACCATTTCAGATAAGGTTAGTTGATGAACTTGCCTGCCCCATCACACACACACACACACACACATACTCAACCGACAGTGCATTTTTTGGTGTGTTTCGTGTACATGATTTGAATCTGTGATTGTTGCTTTGATTGTTCTGTTTTGTTGTTGTAAATGATTGTTCTCACTGAATGTAATGTAGCTAGCTATCTGTCACGAATTAAAATTGTCATCAATTAGGGTATGAATGAAAATCTGGGAACACTAGTTGATATCATTCTGGGTCTAATTTGTCGATCATCAGCAGTACCCACAAATTATATCCTTCAGAGGGTCATTAGGCTTGGATAATTTGGCAACACATTTCCCGTTTAGATGAAGGATCTCATGAGATATGAGAATACAGTCTCTGACTCCTGACGGAGTCATAGATGAGCACTTCTGGGAAATCACAAATTGATGCAAAGTGGTTGTCCAGTGCTGTCAGACTCAAGAACTCATATTATCACAGAAATCAAATGAGCGACCATATGACACCACAAATAACAAGACATAATTCGAATATGAATTAGTTTCGTGTAGCTCAGTACCGATTAGGGGTAACTTAATAATAAAAATAATTAACTATAATTACTGAACAATAAAACAAACATATAATCACAGTTCATGAGTTGAACGAGTCGGATCTGATGTACAGGTGGCTGCATGTGTTGGTCAGGCAAAAGCAGCATTCTTTCGAGTTAAATATTTATGGAACTTATAACAATAAGTGTCAGTCAGAGAATATCAGTTCACAAGTCTACTCAAAATATTTCAACTTTGTTGACTGGACAATATGAACAGCAAACTGCAATCGCAGAGAATCAACTAGCTTCTAGTTGAAGACGAAATTAGAAAACCATAATGGAGATGGATAGGATACACATTGTGGAAATCCTCAGACTACTGAGTCACAAAAGATACTCTTAACACGGAATCTTCAATGCACATGGAAAAGAGAAAGACTAAATAAAAAATTGCGATGGCTATCGGAGACAGACACCCGGGAGAATAATCAGTAACTATTACGGTTATTGGAAATGAAAGATCAAAACGAATTCTATTGGACAATCCCAGTTGCCTATATATGCTCCATGAGTAGTAAATAGCGTTATTAGGTGTTAACGAATTTCGAGAAGAGTTTTGGAGGTTTTCGTGTTTTTACACATTTGAAATCATCCATCAATCATTGTTAGACCACCATTAGAAACCGGGAAGCACTGACAGAAGGCCGTTTTGTCCTGGTATGGGACTCATCAGCGTTGCGCATTCACGACTCCTGCTCCTCGCAAAATTCGAACCCGGGATCTACGGTAATGTGCGCGAACGCCTAAACATCGGACCACTGGGCCGGCATCCAGCGGTGTTAATGTCTAACTCTAATTGATCTAGGGATTCTGCACGATCTCACCCATTTGTCTTTGGTAGTTACTGCCTACACTCGACAGGGTTGAACTCCATTGGTCACGTCTTCTCAACTAGAACTTCGAGAATTTCCTCAAGAAGAAGCTAGTCACCACTAGTGAGCACTGTTACGATATTTTGGGGCAGAGTTTTGGAGGTTTGTGTTTTTACACATTTGAAATCATCAATTTGTACTTATCAAGTGAAACGTCAGACATTTGAACTGTTGATTTCGAATACTCAAGACAAGTTTAGATGACTTGTATCTGAACGCACATCAATCAACTCATGAAATCCTTCCCAATCACGAGAACTATTCTACTCTTCACATTCAGACTAGAAAAGACCATATAGTCATGTTTACTACAGGTATAAAAACCAAGTATGTTTATGAGAGAGGTTATGTGTGACAGTGAGATAACTACTCACATAAATGACAATCACTCAATCCCAAAAGATTTCACATGAAAGATTATAAGGAGTATAGACTTGTTGAAGTATTTTCTGCACACATATCCGGTTTCTCAACACTGTGACAAAAACCTATCAATCAATAAGCAATGCAACCAATCAAACTGAATACAACATCCGGAAAATTTGAAATTCATCAACATTTGAACGGATCAACCGTCAATGATTGTTATTTATTCAATGGTATTAAACAAACCAGTCAACAACATGATTAAAACGACGAAAATTACAGAGTTACTCAGTAAAATAGGAAAACCATATCGTAAATCGTTCATTTGCAAAATATCAGTCAGTCAATCATATCGAACTGGACTGTTCCTGTTGCAAAACATCAACAATCCATTGTCACTATTCATGCGTTTCATACAAATTCCATTGTGTTCTAACTCTTCCTTTCTTGCTTGATCCTCCCCCGTCTTCTGCTGCCACCAGACATTACGTTGACACTCACGTCATATACTACTTATAAGTAGCTCGCACCACAATCTCACTAGAAAATCGGTATTTCAAATTAATTTCAATTTGGAATAATCATTATTCACCATACATGAAGAAAACTGACTTGGAACTCATATAGTCAGTAACTTTATCGATTAATGATTTTTCATCCTACTTTAAACATTTCCAATGATGTGCTATCAACCAAAACTTTGAATAACTATTTCTGGTTAGCATATTTCTTTGCTAGTCAGTATTCTATGCGATGGGATCGCTAACACCATTTATTGCCCAACAAACCCTCATACTTTCTCATAGGGGCTCCATGAAAAGTTACGTTTTCCACATAATTAGAGTTATATTTCACGATATTTCTCTATATTCGGTAATTAATTTAAGCTGTTTTCGAATACCGATTCCCCTGTTTCAGGTCTCCTCTATTCGACAACAAGATACAAGTACAGATAAGGTTAGTTGATAAACTTATCTGCGTCCACTCTTACACAAACACACACACACATTCTCAATCGGTCAACAGAGCATTTTATTCAAACTTACTTACTTACGTGTCCATGATTTGAATCTGTGATTGTAATTTTGATTGTGGTGTTTTGATGCACATGTTTGTTCTCCGTAGATCCATGTAGCTGGCCAGCCGTCTGTCATGAATCGCTTTCTTATTAGTTAGTGCATGACTGGAGTCTGGAAAGCACTGTGTGACATTTTTCTGGGTAAATCTTTTCGACCATCAGTACACAGAACCGGAACCTCTAGGTTCTGTGGCAAGAATGAATGTTTCCGTATAGATAAGTAGGCTTCAAGTTGAATTTCTGTATTTTTTTGTGAGAAACTCATGCAGCTCCGCTATTTCATCCATAAAATTGTCTTCAATGCTGATGAAATTGTTTAATTACTATCCTACTTTTGACTTGACTGAGTGTATGGTTTATGAGTCAATGTATGGGAAATCAATATTTTGGCAGTAACAACGACCCTTATGCTCCATGAGGGGTAACTTGATCAAGTATTGATCTAATAAAATGTCAGACATCTGAAGGTTTGATATTGAATACCCACTACAATCTAATTCCAAACTCAAGTGGAACCTATGGGATAGGGTAGCTAATACTATTGCCCGACAAACCCTCATCCTTCATACAGGCTTGACTGACACTGGAAGTAAGCTCAGAGGGGCTCCAGGAGTGGGATAATTTTCCACATGATTGGAGTAATATTTGACTATATTTCTCTATATTTCGTAATTAATCTAAGCTGTTTTCGAATACCGATTCCCATGTTTCAGGTCTCCTCTATTCGACAACAAGATACAAGTACAGATAAGGTTAGTTGATAAACTTGTCTGAGCCAACACACACTCAATCACTCAACAGAGCATTTTATTCAAACTCACTTACGTGTCCATCATTTGAATCTGTGATTGTAATTTTGATTGTGATGTTTTGATGTAATTGCTTGTTCTCCGTCGATCCATGTAGAGGGCCAGCTATATGTCATGAATCGGTTTCATGTTAGTCAGGGTTTGAATATAGATTTGGAAACACTGGGTGATATTTTTCTGGTTTAAATTTTTGCCAATCAGTATACATACATGACCATTGTAGAGAACCGAGACGTCCAGATTCTGTGGCAATCAAGGGTTATTCCATATAGATAAGTAGTCTTCAAGTTGAATTTCTGCAGTTTCAGTTCGAAACTAATTCAGCTCAGCTACTTCGTCTATCAAATAGACATCAATGCTAATTATATTGCATAAAGGTTACGCAACGTTTTGAAAATTGATTGAATGATGTAGTTATGAGTGATTGTTTGTCAAATCAATGATGTGGCAGTAACACAATCCCTACATGAGACATGATAACCCCGACAACATACTTTTTTCTGGCTTGAGACTGACAATAGGTCTAGAGGGGCTCCAGGTAGAGTTGATTTTCCACTAATTAGGTTAATTTTTTCAAGATATTTGTGTTTTTGACTAATGTAAGCTTTTTTCAAATACCGATTCCCCCTATTTTAGATGTCGTCTCTTCAACGACAAAGTACAACTTCAGATAAGGTTAGTTGATAAACTTGCCTCAGACAACACACACAAACACCCACACCAACACATACACACATACTCAATCGGTCAACAGAGCATTTTTGTATTCAAACTTACTTGTCCATGATTTGAATCTGTGATTGGTATTTTGATTGTGATATTTTGATGTAGTTGCTTGGCCCCAACCCCTTCAATGTAAAGGAGCTATCTGTCACGAATCGATATTATTATCAGTTAGGGTATGATTGGAAATCTGGATTCACTCTGACTGATATTTATCTGGTTCTAATTTCTCACTCATCAATACACATCAGTGAAATCATTTACAAAACCACTGCCTCTAGGTTCTTTGTCACAAAAGTTCTCATTTAGATCAAGATCCTTATATTGTAGTGAATAAGAACACAGGTGGGGGCTACTGAATTGTATTTAACGAAAATTACAGAGTTACTCAGTAAAATAGGAAAACCATATCGTAAATCGTTCATTTGCAAAATATCAGTTCATCATATCGAACTCGACTGTTCCTGTTGCAAAACATCACTCCATTGTCACTATTGATGCGTTTCATACAAATTCCATTGTGTTCTTCTTACTCTTCCTTTCTCTTGATCTTCTCCCCATATTATGCTACCAGACTTTACGTTGATACTTACGCTATATACTACTTATAAGTAGTTCGCACCACAGCACCACACTCGTCCTCCCTTTTAATAAGCTGTCGTCGTATTCCTTCATAACAGCGCCCCTAGTCAGTTACTATCATCTTCGGTATTCCGTGACACGCTACAATATGCCGGATTACCACTTCGGTCATCGTTCTTGATCACTGGTGTAGATGGATACGGCATCTACCCAACGTGTAGCGTTTACAAGTTCCCGATGCTGGAACACGGCGGCAGGCACACACTCGATAAATTGCGACGCCAAAGACTGTGCCCCGCCCACTCCTCACAGTGCAATCCGGTGAGCTCCACAGCAAGCACCAACAGGTCACCATCGGCCGACAGCCGCGCCAACCGGAACCTCTGCGGCGCCTCCTCCCTGTCCGCTGGGCTGTCGAACTCCATTATCAGACGCCCGGTGACCGTCTCCCCCGCCGTCTCCTCGGTGGCACCGTCCAGGCTGTGGTGCACCGCCTTCGCCTCACCTCCCCGCAGCGTCCCCAGCGCCGTCAACTCCGCCCCAAGCCCCCACCAGCTCCACCGTCGCCCCAAACTCCTCCAGGAAGCTCCGCCAATCTCCGCCCTGCAACTCCTTCGGCCACGGGAGCCCCTTCCTTCGAGCAGGCAGCGACACCAAATGTAGTGAATGAGAACACAGGTGGGGGCAACCGTATTATATTTAACGAAAATTACAGAGTTACTCAGTAAAATCGGAAAACCATATCGTAAATCGTTCATTTGCAAAAGATCAGTTCATCATATCGAACTGGACTGTTCCTGTTGCAAAACATCACTCCATTGTCACTATTCATGCGTTTCATACAAATTCCATTGTGTTCTTCTTACTCTTCCTTTCTTGATCTTCCCCCCATATTATGCTACCAGACATTACGTTGACACTCACGTCATATACTACTTATAAGTAGTTCGCACTACAGCACCACAATATGACATGAGCATTCAGTTTTTAATTCTGAGGCTAAGTCGTATGTGCACATTACTAGAAAGTCCCAAAATGAAGCAAAGTGGTTATCGAGTCTTTTCAGACTCAAGAACACTCACATGGAACACTACAAATAACAAGTCATAATTGCCTGTAGATCAGTACCGAGTAAGGGGTAAACTTAATTAGATAATTTATCAACGATAATAAACAGAACAGTTAAGTAAACAGTCACTTTTATCTTGACTTGAACATTTCCCATTTTCTGCCAACGTAATTTTGTATGCACCTTTCTGGTTCGTGTTAGTTTTCTGTGTGATGCGGTCGCTTACCGTACTGGTCATCCCTTTTTTTCCTTTATCGAGGCTTTACATCGTCAGCATGACTAGTGGGGGCTCTAGGCGCAGTAAATTTTTGACTGATTAGCGTTATATTCTGAAATATTTACCTGTTTACTAATTTAAGCTGTTTTCAATACCGATTCCCCTGTTTTAGATGTCTGCACGACAACAAGATACAACTGCAGATAAGGTTAGTTGATAAACTTGCCTGCGTCCACTCCTACACAGACACACAGACACTCATACTCAACCAGCAGAGCATTTTTATTCATACTTACCTACGTGCCCATTATTTTTGAATCTGTGATTGTTATTTTGATTGTGATGTTTTGATGCAAATGTTTGTTGTCTCTCGATCCATGTAGCGCGGGTTTTATCTATCATGAATCATTTTCATGTTAGTTAGGGTAGGATTGGAGACAGGAAAACACTACTGGGTGATATTTTTCTGGTTCTCTATTGTTACTCATCAGTACACCGAAGCGAAACCTCGGTGTTCTGTGTCAAAAAATGAGAGTTACCATTCAGATAATTGGGCATCAAGTTGAATTTATAGTAACACGGTCCCTTCATGAGACATAAGAATGCAATCTCAAATTGCTGGTGGAATGATCATAGGTGCACAGTACTGTAAAATCCCAAAATGAAGCAAAGTTGTTGTAGAGATTTCCTAAACTCAAGAACTCACATTATCAAAGACATTAAATACGTTAGTCATATTTTGAATATGAGTCAGTTGCTTGTAGCTCAGTACGGAGTAGGTGTAACTCAAATCATTACTATCCCTTTCTGAACAGTAAAACAAACACACATTTTTATCTAGCCTTAAACATTTCCAATCTTTCCATCAACCTAGATCTATATACACATTTCGGGTTAGCGTTAGTTTTAGCCAGTTATTTTTCTATGGGATTGGGTCGCTAACCCTATTGACCAACCAACCCTCCTCCTTTATCCATGCATGAAACTGTCAGTAGTATGCCTTGACGGACTTCAGGCGGATTTAATTTTCCACTAATAAGGTTTTTATTTCTAGAAATGTTTCTTTCACTAATGTAAGCTTTTTCCCAAATATCAATCCTCCTGTTTTAGGTATCCTTTCAACGACAAAGTACAACTTCAGATAAGGTTAGTTGATAAACTTGTCTGCGCCATCACACACACACACACGCAAACATATACTCAACCAACAGAACATTTTTTCATGCCTTACTTATACATGATTTGAATCTGTGATTGTGGTTTTGATTGTTATGTGTTTTGGTAAATGCTTGTTATCCCTCTGTCAATGTAGCGTACGAGCTCTCTCTCACGAATCGATATTATTATCAGTTAGGGTACGAATGGAAATCTGGAAACACTGGGTGATATTGATGTGTTTCGAATGTCTTGCTCTTCAGCAGTACACATCTACAACATCACTTAGAGGACCGTTACCTATATAGTCCGCATGAGACATGAGAATCCAGTCTCTGACTCTTGATGGAGTCTCAGGTGAGCACTTCTGGGAAGTCCCAGAATTAAGCAAGACAGATGTCGAGTCTTCCAATGAAGACTAAAGAACTAACGTTAACATAGACATTAAACACGCGACCATGGTACACTACAAATAACAAGTCATATTTTGAATATCAGTTATTTGCTTGTAGCTCAGTACCGAGTCGTGATTACTTAATAAACTAAATTATTAACCGTAATTATTGAACAGTAAAACAAACATATATTCACAGTCCATGAGTCGAAAAAGTGGAATCTGATGTAGAGGTGCCTGCATGGGTTGGCCAGGCAAAAGCAGCATTCTTTCAAGTGAAACACTTATGGAACTAATAACTATAAGTGTCAGTTAGCGAACATCACTTCACAAGTTTCAATACAAACACTGAAACAGTTCTGTTGTATACAGAAGAAACTTTTTAGTAATTGTTTCCTCAAAATACTTCAAATCCTTTGACTGGAAAAGATCCGAATCTGCAATGGCAGAAAGTTAACTAGCTTCTAGTTGAAGACAAAATTAAGCAAACCATACTGGAGGAGATGAATAGGATACACATTGTGGAAATCATCAGAATGCATCGCAAAGCAAGCCTTTACATGAAATCATCAATTTATGAGGAACTGTGCAAGACTAGACGTAAAATGGAGATGGCAATCGGAGACAGACACCGAAAGTATAATCTGTAGCACTTACGATCACTGGAAAGGAGAGATCAAAATGGAGTACTGTAGAGAAGACTAGTTAGTGACCAATGCTACATCAGGGGTAAGAGGCGTTGTTAGTAAGTTCATGAGCATACTTGAAAACCAAGTATATTTATCACAGAAGTTATGAGTGACAGTGAGATTCCAAAAACAGAACTACTCACATAACTAACAATCACTCAATCAGAACAATGAGACCGACATCGCATATTTTCAAAAATCCACAAGAATGTTTATAAGGAGTGTAGATTTATTAAAGTTGTTTTCAATATACTCGCGGTTTCTCAAGACGTCAAAAAACCTATCAATCAATAATTAATGTCACAAATCAAACTGAATACAACATCCGGAAGATTGTGAAATCATCACAAATGATCACTTTATTGACAGAAAAGCATATTCAAATTACAATAGATACGTGAAGCAAATAGCCTTGAAACTCATAAAGTCTGACTTAAACATTTATGATATTTCTACCAGCCTATGATTGTATAACATTTCTCTAGTCGGCGTTATTTTTATCCAGTTAGTGTTCCATGGGATGTTGTCACAAACCCAGTTGTCCATTCAAATCTCCTCATTTATCCGGACTTGATTAAGACCGGCAGTAAACTCACAGAGGCTCCACGAGAATATATGTTTCCACATAATTAGAGTTATATTTCACGATATTTCTCTATATTTGGAGATGAATGTAAACTGTTTTCGAATACCAATTCCCCTGTTTCAGGTCTCCTCTATTCGACAACAAGATACAAGTACAGATAAGGTTAGTTGATAAACTTGCCTGAGACTATACACACGCGCACACAAATACTCCACCTACAGAACATTTTATTAGAACTGTGATTGTAATTTTGATTGTGATGTTTTGATGTAAATGCTTGTTCTGCCTATCTATCATCGATCGGTTTCTCATTAGTTATTGTATGAATGGAGACTGGCAAACACTGGTTGATATTTTTCTGGTTAAATATTTTCTCCCATCAGTACACAGAACTGGATCCTTTGTGTTCTGTGACAAGTAGGATTGTTTCCATTTAGATAAATAGGGCTTCAGCTTAAATTTCTCAGGTTTTAGTGTGAAACTAATACAGCTCATCTATTTCGTCATCAATAATTCTGACATTATATAAAGGTTTTGCAACTTTTTTAACTGCTGGACTGTATTGGTTACGAATGATTGTATGACACATATGACAGTAAAATTGTCCTTTCATGAGACATGATAACATGTTATACTGACCCCAAGGTATGCTTAAACTATTACGAGTTCACCTTAGTCGATTAACGAGAACAAACCAATGAACCAGCGTCCAAGTAGGCTACTGTGATCCCTTGATCAAAATGAATCAGCAAGAAGTCTTGATATAGTGTAGAAATTGTATTATACAAACACTCAGCCAGCACAAAATGAATCCAAGCACTCAAATTGCGTTTATTTATACTCTATAGAGACGTCCTTGGGACAGTCACAAAATAGCACACTAAAATGACACAGTAACCAATCACAGACAAGAATTTTCCTGGTGGAAAATGTGATCTCAAGGTCAACTGATCAGTCCATGAAATAAATCCATACTAAAGATATTTATGAAGCGAGTTCTGGGGATCTAACATCCCCAATGTAACCCCAACAACATATTTTATCCTGGCTTGAGACTGACAGTAGGTCTAGAGGGGCTCCAGGTGGAGTTGATTTTCCACTAATTAGCGTTATATTTCAAGATATTTGTGTTTTTACTAATGTAAGCTATTTTCATATACCGATTCCCCTATTTTAGATGTCTCTTCAACGACATGGTTCAGTGTCAGATAAGGTTAGTTGATAAACTTGCCTGAGACCACACGCACACCCACCCACATACACACATACTCAATCGATCAACAGAGCATTTTTGTATTCAAACTTACTTACTGACTTACTAACATGTCCATGATTTGAATCTGTGATTGTTATTTTGATTGTGATATTTTGATGCAAATGTTTGTTCTCCGTCGATCCCCATGTAGTGGGGTAGCTAGCTATCTGTCATGAATCAATATTATCATCAGTTAGATTATGAATGGAAATCCGGAATTACTTAGAGATTTTTATCTGCTTCCGATTTGTCGCTCATCCGTACACATCCATAGCATAATTTATACAACCACTGCCTCTAGATTGTTTTGCACGAAAGTTCCCACCATTTGGTTCAAGGTCCTCATGAGACATGTGCATCCAGTCTCTGATTCCTGGCTTATTCCTAAGTGCACACACTATTGGGAAATCCCAAAATGAAACAAAGTGGTTATCGAGTCTTCCCAGACTCAAGGATTCACATTATCATAGACATTAAATACACAATTATGGTACGCTACCAAAGAACAAGTCATAATTGGAACATGACTTATTTGTCTTTAGCTCAGTTCCGTGTACGAGTAACTCTAATCAGTTAATTAACGTTACTTACTGAACACTAAAACAAAAAACAAATTTTTATTGCCTCAAACATTTCGGAACCACCTAATTCTGTATACTCTTTTCTAGTTAACGTTATTTTCAGCCAGTTCGTTCTCTGTGTGATGGGTTTGCTAACCCTATTGCCCAACCAACCCTCCTCTTGTATCCGAACTGGAGGCCGGCAGTATGATTAGAGGTGCTTTAGACAAACTTAATTTTCCACTGATTAGGTTAATTTTTTTCAAGATATTTGTGTTTTTGACTAATTTAAGCTCTTTTCATATATCAATTCCACTGTTTTAGATGTCGTCTCTACAACGACAAAGTACAACTTCAGATAAGGTTAGTTGATAAACGTGCCTCAGACAACACACACAAACACTCCCACCCACATACACACATACTCAATCGGTCAACAGAGCATTTTTGTATTCAAACTTACTTGTCCATGATTTGAATCTGTGATTGGTATTTTGATTGTGATGTTTTGATGCAAATGTTTGTTGTCTCTCGATCCATGTGGCGCGGGTTTTATCTATCATGAATCATTTTCATGTTAGTTAGGGTAGAAATAGAGACAGCAAAACACTACCGGGTGATATTTTTCTGGTTCTCTATTGTTACTCATCAGTACACCGAAGCAGAACCTTGGTGTTCTGTGTCAGAAAATGAGAGTTACCATTCAGATAAATGGGCTTCAAGATGAATTTATAGTAACACGGTCCCTTCATGAGACATAAGAATACAGTCTCAAATTGCTGGTGGAATGATCATAGGTGCACAGTACTGTAAAATCCCAAAATGAAGCAAAGTTGTTGTCGAGATTTCCTAAACTCAAGAACTCATATTATCATAGACATCAAATACTTTAGCATGGTACACTACAAATAACAAGTCATAATTGCCTTCAGATCAGTACCGAGTAAGGGGTGAACTTAATTAGATAATTTATCAACGGCAATAAACAGAACAGTTAATTAAACATTCACTTTTATCTTGACTTGAACATTTCCCATTTTCTGCCAACGTAATTTTGTATGCACCTTTCTGGTTGGTGTTAGTTTAAACCTGTTAGTTTTCTTGCGTGATGCGGGTGCTTACCGTACTGATCATCCCTTTTCCATTTTTCGAGGCTTTAAAACGGCAGCATGACTAGTGCGGGGTTCTAGGAGGAGTAAATTTTTGACTGAATAGCGTTATATTCTGAAATATTTACCTCTTTACTAATTTAAGTTGTTTTCAATACCGATTCCCCTGTTTTAGATGTCTGCACGACAACAAGATACAATTGCAGATAAGGTTAGTTGATAAACTTACCTCAGACAACACACACAAACACCCACATTCAAATACACACACACACTCAGTCCGTCAGCAGAGCATTTTATTCAAGCTCACTTACGTGTTCATGATTTGAATCTGTGATTGTTATTTTGATTGTGATGTTTTGATGTAGTTGCTTGGTTTACGCCCCACAATGTAAAGGAGCTATCTGTCACGAATCGATATTATTATCAGTTAGGGTATGATTGGAAATCTGGATTTTACTCTGACTGATATTTATCTGGTTCTAATTTATCGCTGATCAATACACATCAGTGAAATCATTTACAGAATCACTGCCTCTAGGTTCTTTGTCACAAAAGTTCTCATTTAGATCAAGATCCTTATATGACATGAGCATTCAGTTTTTAATTGTGAGGCTGAGTCCTATGTGCACATTACTGGAAAGTCCCAAAATGAAGCAAAGTGTTTATCGAGTCTTTTCAGACTCAAGAACACTCACATGGAACACTACAAATAACAGATCAGTACCGAATAGGAGTAAATTTAATTAGATAATTTATCAACGGTAATAAACAGAACAGTTAATTAAACAGTCACTTTTATCTTGACTTGAACATTTCCCATTTTCTACCAACGTAATTTCTATGCACCTTTCTGGTTGGTGTTAGTTTAAACCTGTTAGTCTTTTTGCGTGATGCGATCACTTACCGTATTGATCATCCCTTTTTTCCTTTATCGAGGCTTTACAACGTCAGCATGACTTGTGGGGGCTCTAGACGGATTATATTTTTTGGACTGATTAGCGTTCTATTCTGAAATATTTACCTGTTTACTAATTTAAGCTGTTTTCAATACCGATTCCCCTGTTTTAGATGTCTGCACGACAACAAGATACAACTACAGATAAGGTTAGTTGAGATAAACTTGCCTCAGACAACACACACAAACACGCCCACATTCAAATACACACACATACTCAATCGGTCAGCAAAGCACTTTTGTATTCAAACTTACTTACTCACGTGTCCATGATTTGAATCTGTGATTGTTATTTTGATTGTGATATTTTGAGGTAGTTGCTTGGTCCCCCTCCACATTGTAAAGGAGCTATCTGTCAAGAATCAATATTAATATCAGTTAGGGTATGATTGAAAATCTGGATTCACTTTGACTGATATTTATCTGCTTCTAATTTATCGCTCATCAATACACATCAGTGAAATCATTTACAGAATCACTGCCTCCAGGTTATTTGGCACAAAAGTTCCTATTTAGATCAAGCATTCAGTCTTTAATTGTGAGGCTGAGTCCTATATGCACATTAATGGAAAGACCCAAAATGAAGCAAAGTGGTTATCGAGTCTTTTCACACTCAATAACGCTCACATGTAACACTACAAATAACAAGTCATCATTGCCTTCAAATCAGTACCGAGTGAGGGGTAAACTTAATTAGATAATTTATCAACAGAACAGTTAATTAAACATTCACTTTTATCTTGACTTGAACATTTCCGATTTTCTACCAACGTAATTTTCTATCCATCTTTATGGTTGATGTTAGTTTAAGCCCTTTAGTTTTCTTGCGTGATGCGGTTGCTTACCGTCGTGATCATCCCTTTGTTTCCTTTATCGAGGCTTCACAACGGCAGCATAACTAGTGGGGGCACTAGGAGGATTAAATTTTTGTCTGAATAGCGTACTAATCTGAAATATTTACCTGTTTACTAATTTAAGCTGTTTTCAATACCGATTCCCCTGTTTTAGATGTCTGCACGACAACAAGATACAACTGCAGATAAGGTTAGTTGATAAACTTGCCTGAGACAACACACACACAAACACGCCCACCCATTTACACACACCCATATACACATACTCAATCGGTCAGCAGAGCATTTTATTCAAACTCACTTACGTGCCCATTATTTTTGAATCTGTGATTGTTTTTTTGATTGTGATGTTTTGATGTAAATGTTTGTTCTCACTCCGTCGATGTAGCCGAGCAGCTATCTGTCACCAATCCGTTTGTTAGCAGTTAGGGCATGGATAGACATATGGAGACTCTGGGTGATATTTTACTGGGTAAAGTTGTGCGCTTATCAGTACACATTCATGATGTGAATTAGAGAACCGGAACCTCTAGGTTCTGTGTCAAGAATGAGTGTTTACAAATAGATAAGTAAGCTTCAAGTGGAATTTCTGTAGTAACTTCAGTGAGAAACTAATGCAACTCAGCTATTAGATTGATGAAATAGTCGTCAATGATGATGACATTGTGTAATGGTTGTGCAACGTTTTGTATTGACTGTATGTAGTACTTATGAATGATTGTGTGCCGAATCAATAATGTGGCAGTAACAAGTTTCATCAATCATGAGTTACGAGAATACAACGGCTTTCAAAAACGGCCAGTGGGCCTTGAAGAACACCAGGTGCAGTTAACTTTTCCTAATAATAAGGGTTATATTTCAAGATATTTGTGTCTTTACTAATGCAAGCTGTTTTTTCAATTACCAATTCCCTTGTTTTAGACGTCCGTCCGACGACAAGCTACAATGTCCGATAAGGTTAGTTGATAAAAATGTGCCTCCATGCACACACATACTGAACCAACTGAACAGTACATATAATTATAACCTACTTGCACATGATTCGAATCTGTGATTGTTGCTTTGATTGTAATATTTTTTTGTTGTAAATTCTTTTTCTCAATCAATGTTAAAGAACTCTCTGTCACCAGTCAATATTAGCATCAGTTAGGTTTTGAATGGAAAGCTGGAAGTAGTGGTTGATATTTATCTGGTTCTACTTTATCGATCATCAGTACCTAGTCATTACCTCGTTTAGACAACCATTGCCTCTTGTTGGTTCTGTAGCAAGAACGAGTGTTTCCATTTAGATCAACGTCCTCAATAGACACGAGAATCCAGCCTTCGACTCCTGGAGGAGATGTTCTAGGTTCACAGTTCTGGGAAGTCCGAAATTGATGGACAGTAGTTTTTGAGTCTTCCTTAGCTTACAAGGATATAGTATTCATCTGAACAGAATACCATCTATTTCAATCACTGTTCTTATGTAACATCATAACGATTCATTCCAAATGAAGGCAACCGAACATTCAGAATGAAGCGATTGAATCACACTTATTTTAACCCGATAAACAAACGATACGTCCATAATTGATAGTACGATGAATTGTTTTATAAGATGCATCAATGTTATACATTAATATGGGACTAAATGTTACTACGACTGAGCACAGGATCCATACATTAAATACACTAGTTTATAAGTAGATAACTCACATTTTAAAATCCAGAGTACAAAGGTAAGTCATGTCAACAGTTAGTGACAGTTGTTTACACTATTATTTTGTACTGTTTCATACATTTCATTTATAATTGAATGTTGTCATCCATCTTTGCTCATCAATCAATCACCAATCATGGTTCACAATTATTTAAACACTGTCAAATTCACAATCGCATTCATAATAAATACTCAACATAATTCTGTGTGTCTCTCTGCGTATTTGTATGTGTACTGTTATTGGGTTTTTCGATTTTTTGATCACTGAACTTATAAATCAATTGTGATGGGGTTTTGTTATCTTTGAGCTGGATGTGGTTTGGTTGTGGCGCTGTCATCGCTGTTCTTCAGCTGAACAACATCATCAGTTAGCAAATTATAATTTGATTGAAGGAAAAAATCACACCACAATGCACATCATCACTACTAAAAAAGTACTTCTTCATCTCTCCTTTTTTTTCCAATCAGGATTTGATCGAACAAAAAGCTGATCGTAGCGATTTAATCAGTATCATGGGTACATCAGCTGAATTGTCCGAGAAAGTTTCCAATTTAGAAGCTAGTGTGAAAGAATTATCCAAAGAAAGAGAAAAGGTAAAAATCAATTATTTAGACGAGAGTACAAACAAAGTGCACTGTTAAGTTTGTGTGTGTATGTGTGTGTGTGTGTCTACGTGTGTGTGTGTGTGTGCATGTTTATATTGGACTGTCTGTGTGTCATGTGATTATGTGTTTCAATGCCCTTGCATACCTTCACACTGTCATCGTTTTTTTTCGAATGCACCTGGTTATCGATCGGAATTTTTGTGGCAAGTCAATGGTCATTATTGATTTTTTTTTATAGTTTAAGCTAGTGGTATATAATGAGTGATTTTTTGGTTAAAGGTTGACAGGTGTGTGTGTGTGTTTGTGAATCGATCACTGTTAGGACATCATTAGAGGCCTGGAAGCACTAGATAGCTGATTCGTCCCTAGTATGGTATTGACTCATCAGCAGTGAGCATCCACGATATCCACTGGTGGGAATCGGATCATCAGTCTCGAGCGCAAATACCTAACCTTTAGATCATACTGAGTCGACATCCAACGGTGTTCATGTCTTACGCTATCGCGACCTACCTTCAACTTTGAACAGTTCATTCAAACACATAAATAACATTTCCTATTTTAAACTGGTTCTTTCTTCTTGAAGCTAGTTATCTAAGTCAAAACATTTAACATAGAAAAAAATTCAAGTCGTATATTTAATAAAGTTATATTGGTTGATTTGCTTTTAAATAGAAAATAACTTATAAATATCCTTGAACATTGAATTTCACTTTTCCTAGTCTCAGTCAGTCAGTCAGTCAGTCAGTTGCAACGTAGAACTTCGTACGTATGTACATAAGTTCATGTAGCCATACCACATTAGCACAGAAACGCAAATGTCAAATCAAATCCCATAGTGATAAAGATAGTAGAGGTATTAATGGTAATGAAGAAGACTAGGGTTCGAAGATATTATTCAAGAAGTATAATTCAGTGAGATAAGGTTAGAACGACAAAGGTAGAGGTGCTGACGAATCCGGAAGATTAGGATTTGAGAGAACACAAAGAGTGGATGCACTTGTGCCAGTACAAACGATTCTGAGCCATATCGTTCAAGGTCTCTAACCATTGATGACTTTCGTCTACCAACATGACTCAGTCCACTTGTCAGTGACTTCATGGATTTGTGCCATGTTTTGGTCTGGTCGCGCTACTAGTTTTCTTCCAACCTACTCCTACACCACAAAATATAGCTCGTCGAGGCAGTTGGTGGTTAGGCATACACAACACATGTCCCAACCACCTCAACTGATGAAGTTTCACCACTTCATCTATTGGTCTGCCATCCTTACCTAGCACCCGTTTCCTAACGACAGCATTGCTTACTCGGTTGTCCCACGGTATACGAGCAATGCTTCGAAGACATCTATGATCGAATACTAGCAACCTACGAACATCTTCTACTCTTAACGGCCATGTTTCGCATCCATATAGGAGAACGGAGCGAACTGCAGCGCAGTACACCCGTCCTTTGGTCAGCGAATGGACATCTCGTCTACGCCATAACTGATGCAAGTTCGCGAAAGCCAGTCGAACATTCTATATCGGTGCTGAGATTTATCTACACACCAGGCCATCAGCACTGTTTAGACTCCCAAGATAAGTGAAGCGATCAACACGCTCGACTACTTCACTCCCTATCACTAGTTCAGGTGCCGATTCAATTCAGTCTTGAAGCAACATTTTGCATTTCGGGTGGGAAAACCGCACCCTGAACATGCTCGTATTGTTGCTTGTGGTAGTCAGAAGACTCTGCATTTTGTCAGCGTCTTCACCGAACAGAACTATGTCATCGGCATATTCTAGGTCAGCAAGCGGTTTTCCTGGTAGGAGGTCAACCCCTGAGAAATCTGACGAGCTTGATGTTAACTCTAAGAGGATGTCTACGACAAAGTTAAACAAGAATGGAGAGAGTGGACAGCCCTGATGGACACCACTTGATGCAGAAAATTCTGATGACAGTTCGCCATAAGCTCTCACCCGACCAGTGGTGTTCGAGTAGAGAGCTTGTATAAGGTTAATGTACTTATTTGGTACACATTTCAATGACAGACACTGCCACAGAACCTCACGATCTACAGAGTCAAATGCCGCTTTTAGGTCCAGGAACACGACTATTGTCGGACGTCTAAATGTGTGTCTGTGTTCCTGGACCTGTCGTAGTGTGAAGATGTGGTCTATACAACCACGTCCAGGTCGAAAACCAGCCTGGTTTTCTCGAGTCTGCTCTTCACGAGCTCTAGTTAGACGTCTGAGTATAATCGAGGCTACCAGTATAGAAACTATATTAGTTAGACTTATTCCCCTGTGACTGTCACAAGAGGACTTTTGTCCTTTCTTGTAGATTGGAACAATTAGTGACTGAGACCAATCAGATGGGATTACGTCCAGTTCCCAGATTCTACCTAGGATCTCGGTCAGTCTAACTGTTAAAACTGCACCACCATCCTTAAACATCTCAGGGCTAAGCCTATCAGGACCTGCTGCTTTACTTCGCTTTAGATTTCCTATAGCTTTCTCAACTTCATGTAGACTAGGAGGACTTAAATCGATTTGCCATTCAGGATGACTGGGGATCATGGGCAACCGAAGTGTGGCTGAAGACCAGTTGAACTGGTCTCTAAAGTGTTCTGCCCATCGGTCCAACCTCCTGGATCGGGACTGAATAATAAGACCATCCCTTTACGAGATAGCCTCACTTACAGTAGGATTCCTTATACCGGTTTCTTTGATAAGGCGGAAAAGTGGTCTAATGTTGCCGATCGCCGCTGCCTTTTCCATCGCTTTTGCTTTCGCCACCCACCACTGTTCGCGGTCGTTACGTAGGCTTTTTATAAGTCTGCGCCTAAGCTGACTTCGCTCTTCATCATGTTAAAAGTCATGTGGGATGCGTTTTCGAGCCTCTATCAGTTCGGTGGATGGTAGTGAGATCCACGGCTTCATCCTAGCCTTATGGTTTACTTTACTAGCAGATATCACTGCTGTTTCCACAGCCTTCTTGATATCATTCCAACCTGCCTCCGGATAGGAATCACTTGAATGGTCGCCTAACTGTTTTTCTAGTTCCTCTTGAAATATTTTCTTAGCTTGATTATCATTAAGTAAAGCCCTAAGAGGCTTCTTTACGGTGTCTTTCCTACGCCCAGTAAGCCCCAAACAAATACGAGCTCGCACTAGGGCATGATCTGAATCTAAACATGTGCCCCAGAACGAGCGACAGTCCTCTATTGAACCCCTCCATCGGTGGCTGATGGAGATATGATCTAGTTGCGTTCAACGTTCAGACGAGTTCGGGGGTCGCCAGGTCAAAAGATGTTTTTCCTTATGCTTGAAATTGGAGGAGGTCCGAAAGCTTTCTGTAAAACTCATCGTCTGGACTGCAGTCAGTGGGGGCGTAGGCAGATATGACGAAGAGGCAACGAGGAGTGTACCTATCCTTTCGAATCCTTACTGCCCCGTTTAGTCGGACGGCGCACAAGCGACTATCTACAGGGATCCATTCAAGGAGAGATTGTTCTGCCCTACGACTCAGTGCTATACCTACACCAGCGAGACCCCGGGGCTACCGGACACACGAAGGGTAAATTGAGTTGCTTCTTTATCTTGACATGGTGAGGTCAAGTAAATGATGCTACTCGGATCCTGTATGAACGTTTCCGAGACGCAGCATACATCTATGGCGCGATATTTTAAAGTCCTTGCTAATGATGCCTGTTGCCCTATTTGACAAAATGTCCGTACATTAAATGCTCCAACATGTAGTTTAGAGCGGGGTTTCAGGAGACAAGGAACGACGTTTCGTGGACTCGCATCGTTTGCATTAGCTGTGCAGCGTGATAAAGGAATGTGAGAATAGATAGTCGTAGAGATAAGAGAGATATTAGGGGGTGTAGAAAGGATTTGATTTTGACCGATTTGGTCTCGTGTGCTGTTACGGGTATGAGGGCGGTTGTCACTTCCCGGCTGCTCACACCGTGGAAGGTTGTTTCTTGAGGAACCTGAAAAAGAAGGTATATTAGCATTGGTCTTAGAGACCGGGGTGCGTGATCGCAGAACCCAAGGGACAAATGCTTCAGGCCAGTCACACACGGCCTTTTTATGAAGAGTTTTTTGAGTATTAGCTCCGCTCTTGAAAGCCCTTGGTGGGTACCGTTACCGACGGAGACGGGGGTGACATTTTTAGAGTCGATCTCTTCTAACCCTTCCTTCCTTGTAAGAAGGCAACATCGCTGCAGATGCTGTTTGTCCGAGGGAAACACCTTACTGCTGTCACACCCTCTGCAGTCAGCAGTACGACCTTGAGTAGCCGCTTTTAGTCTCATCGTTCTCCAGTCGACCTGTCTGGCTTGGTAGAACCTACAGGGACATATGTTCCAGCCAATATAGCTTGGTTGGGTCATCACAATAGGCAAGCTTGACCACCACGTCAAGGTAGCATCTTCGATCGGGTTTTCCTAGTCTACATTACAGGCTGTGTTATGAATAATTACGGTTCATACATAGATGGAAAGATAGATAAATGTGTGGATAGATCAGATAGATAGGTAGATAGATAGATAGATAGATAGATAGATAGATAGATAGATAGATAGATAGATAGATAGATAGATAGATAGATAGATAGATAGATAGATAGATAGATAGATAGATAGATAGATAGATAGATAGATAGATAGATAGATAGATAGATAGATAGATAGATAGATAGATAGATAGATAGATAGATAGATAGATAGATAGATAGATAGATAGATAGATAGATAGATAGATAGATAGATAGATAGATGTATTGCTATTTTTCCTATTTTTTCGAGAATTCATCTTTTTAGTGAGTTTGATTACTTTTTAACTATTAATGAACGTATATCTCTGTGTGAATTATTGATATTTGCTTATATAATTGGTAATGATACTTAATTTTTGACTGTTTTGAATTTTTCATCTAAGATTTATGTGGACGGTACAACATCACCTCATATGCCTTATCCATCTGATGTAAGTTTCATTATTGATTGTATTCAATATTCAATAATATCAGTGTTTGTTTAAAATGTTGTTATTGTTTGACCGTGTAGTATTTGAAATAACTGGATAGAAGACAATAATAGATAATAATTTCTTGATTATTCTCAAATACAATAATGGTAAATAAAAGCGTACTTCTAGAACTTTCTCTGTGCATCGATTGTTGTTGATTTGTTGAAAATCAATTGCTCAGGACATTTCTATTTGAACATAATCAGGACTGTACTACATTCTGCTAAGCAATTTATTATTTTTCCCTTAGTGTTAGCTAGTTATAAGTGAACCAGGAGAAATTTTTTAGCATTCCTATCTATCTGATTTTGATACTAGATAGCTTGAGGCAACAATCATCAGGCAGTCTTAACTAAGTAAGTCAGTTACAACGTAGAACTTAATACGTGCATACATAAGTTCGCGTTGCCATACCACACTAGCACAGAGATGCAACTGTCGTCAGTTCAATGAATTTATTGGTATTTCATTCTTGTTAAGTCTGATCAGATCGTTAGAGCTCCGTGAATTACAGAATATATGTTAACCGGAAACACACACAATTCGAGAACTTATAGAATTGAAATAGGCTTAATGAATCCAGGTTAATTTTTATTGAAATAATCAGTCGATCATTGTTAAAACCATTGGATGCCGGCTCTTTCGCCCGCATGAGACTAAAGGTACTATGGTGAGCACTACTGGTAAGTCCTACACTAGGACGAATCAGCTATCTAGTGCATTCAGGCTTCTAATGGTGTACAAACATTGATCAATTCATGATTTCAATGATATCATATCACTTAGAACTATAGTACAGATTTAACTTGGCCTTAAAAGTTCCACAGTTTAAGAAATATAGTTTTGTTTTAATGTTAAATGGGTCTTGGCAACTGGTAAGACAATTGACCAACATTTCTTATGAGATTCCAACTCACACTAGTCGATTTCATTGTTAGAAATGTTATGATTAAGTTATTCAAACGATAACTGGGATTATTATTATATCAAACTGAAATGCTTAAGTTAACTAATCCTTAGGGTTGTAGTAAGTTTCAAAAATATATATTTAGCCGTTAGAATTGATTGAATTTCCAAGATTACTGCTTATCCAAGTGACCCAACTTATTATTTTATGAAGCTGCATGTTTTGTATATCGTGTCTAGGAATACTTATCAGGAATTCTAACATGACCTGTATCTGACGGTAGTGACTTGGAGATAAAAATGCAATAGTTATGTACCTAGGTATTAGAAATCATTGAAATTTGTTAAAAACATCCATCTATTCCCTTTTTAGACATTAAGTAGTTTGATTCCAAATTCTAATGAGATAAATTACCTAACTGTTTCGCTAAATTGAACAAACGGTTTATTCATCAGTTAATGGTCAATATCATACTGTTGTTCATGAAACCACATGGAATTTATTAACAATGATGTACGCAAAATGTCTGTCTAATCTTCAAATGTGAATTATTTTCAGTTGTTTTGTGTACTGGAGATATCGATTGATTGTTAATTTCCTGTAACAATCATCAAATATGATCATTGACTTTTAGCGTTAAGCGTCTTTTTAGGGAGTTAGTTTTCTACGGGATAAGGTTTCCAACCCAATGTCTGATCCTTCTCTTTTATCGTGGCTTGAAACCGGTAGTAACTCCAGAAGGGCTTGTTACGGATGCATGTAAACACGTCAGTTTGAACCTATTACGAGTTTACCTTAGTCCGAAAACGAGAGCGAGGATCGAGGGTCCGGAGACACGAAAGGCTTCTCTAATCCGAGCGTCCCAAACCCCCATTAGATTAAAAGAAGAATACTTGATATGAAATAGAACCTGTATTCTACAAGCATCCAGAAAGTACGAGAGCCGAGTCCAGAAGAAGACATGGATCGCGGACTAACGATTCGGGTCCGAGTCGTAAAACGTATATTTAGGTCGAATAGGAAACAGCACCGAAGTCTGTGACATTGACAGTTAAGGCGACTAATAGGAAACAACCTTGAAGTACGTCACATTGATAGCTAAGACGACCATAATATTGACCAATAGAATTTACACTTAAAAAATGATTCTTCGTAGGATATTTGGTGAATATCCTAACAGGGCTTTATGTTAATGAAATGAACTATAAATGACTGATAACTACAACATATACTGATTTGGCTGGGGATAAACTTCAGGTGTTGTTTGGCCTTTTGACGTTTTATTTAACAACCAATCAGAACGAAACAGGAATGATTATTTTCGACTCAACGTTTCTACTGTTCACCGTACTCATGAAAATATTTACTTACAGAAAGCTCTATGAACAATGAAAAAGTGTTTTCTTTAACATAAACATCACTGCATCCTAGCTACAGAGCTGTACAGTGAAGGTGGCGTCAGTCAATGACCGAAAACATCATCATCAACAGCAACATAGAACTTTGCACATAAGTACATCAGTTCAAGTTGCCATAACACATGAGCACAGAGATATATAATCGTCAATTCAAATCCTATAGTAGTAGAGGTAGTAGAAGTATTCGAAGTAATCGGAGAGATTAGGTGTTAGGATATTCATCCAATATCCTAAGATAATTATTGGTCAATTCCTATTGGTTAATTCCTATTGGTCAGTTTTATGGTCGTCCTAGTAGATATCAATGTCACATGCTCCAATGTTGTTTCTCATTGGTTGTCCTGACTATCAATGTCACTTCAAATGTTGCTTCCTATTGGTCGTCTTAACTGTCAATGTCACAGAATTCGATGCTGTTTCCTATTCGACCAAAATGTATAAATACGCATTATCTGTAGCGTTTTATGACCAGGACCCGGACCCGGAGCCGGATCCCTAGTCCGGGATCCTGATTCTCTTCTGGATTCAGATCTCGTACTTTCTGGATGCTTGTAGAATACAGGTTCTACACCACATTCAAGTCTTCTAAATTTCATACTCAATATGGGGGTTGTGATAATCGGATTTGAGTAGCATGTCGTGTCGCCGGATCCTCGCTCTTGTTTTCCGTCTAGGTAAACTCGTAATAGTTCAAGTATATCCAGTTGACATGTTTACCTGTTGTAGGCGTAACATTAGGATTCGAAGATGTTATTCAGTGAGGTGAATTTAGAGTGAGAGAGAGAGAAAGATAAGGGTGATGAGAGGAATTAATTCATAAAACATAATCATTATTGTATGCCCCTACTTACTTACTGACTAATCACAAGAATCATGTAATCTCAAATGATTGTTACTTCTTTTTATTTTTAAAATAGAATAAGAAATTGATTAAAAAATTACAAGATACCATGTCAGTATTACAAGAACAAATTAATCAGCAACATGATACAGTGACTGATGTCAAGACACAATTTAAAAAACTACATGAAACTGTTGTGGTTAGTTTGTTTTTGTTTTCTTTCTAAAGAACGTTTTTTTTCATCAATTAAATTTATGACGTTTTTGGTTGGTTTTTATGAAGTATTTTTATCAGTATATCGTCTTATTTCATTAGATGAGCTCTGACAGGAGTCATATCCTGTTACAGGTGTAGTGAAGGAGAACACAGGTGAGGGCAATCGAATTGTATTTACCCGAAAATTACAGAGTTACTCAGTAAAATAGGAAAATCATATCGTAAACGGTGAAATTCGCAAATCTTCAATCCATCATCAATCCATTGTCTGACATTTCACCACTGTTCATGCGTTTCATACACAAATTCCATTGTGTTCCCACTCTTCTTACTTTCTTGATCTTCCCCCATCTTCTGCTGTCACCAGACATTACGTTTACACTCGCGTCATATACTACTTATAAGTAGCACGCACCACACAGGTATGAAAAGAGGATGTCACTTCTTGGTTGCTCATCCAGTGGAAGGAGATGTCTTCATAGGGGTGACAGAATAAGGAGTTAGATTAGTGTTGGTCTTAGTGATCTGGGAGTGGAACCGTAGAGTCCAAGGGACAGCTACTTGAGGCTAGTCATGTACGGTCTTTTTGTGGGATGTTTTGGCAATGTTAGCTCCGCTCTTCAGTAAGCCTTACCACCGGAGATGAAAATCCATGCGATGGTAAAGTGATGTATGACATTTTTAGGGTCTACCTTTTTTTAAGCCCTTCCTTCCTTGTGAGAAGGCAACATCTCCGAAGATGCTGTTTGTCATAGGGGAGCATGTTACTGCGGTGACACCTCTCAATAGTCATAAGTACGACTTTACCCTCAGACCTTAAGTTGCCGCTTTTAGTCTTAACATCGTCCTCTAATCTACCTCCCTCGAATGATATGACATAAAGAAACAAGTTTTCCAGCCAATATATAGCTCAGTCAGGTCATCACGATAGACAAGCCCGACCACCACATCACAATAGCAGCTACAGTAGAGGATGTAGAGCCCACAGTGCTTGTCCCTAGCCTTTGGACAAACCAAATTAATCCCTTCTTCTCTAGTAATTATTCACATGTCTTTTGACGCTGTCAATTATTCAAGTTTAATAATCTTGGTTGTTCTGACTTGAATGCCTGCGTGTGCATGCATAATTCGTTTATCGCATGTATAGCTTATTCCCGTCTGACTTTAAATACTTAGTTATGTCTCATCACATTCAGTTGCTTCACTTGTCTTCTCCACATGTGGCTTCCCTTTGCTTTCGAACCTGCTATCATCATGTCTGTTTGCATGAAATAAACTCATCCAAATGAATCTGTATTCGCCTTCTTTCACCATCGTTGAGTATGATATACTGAAATCGAAAGGAAGATTAATTTTATAGTATATTCAATCGTTCGTCTGAATTGTGGAGTCAGATTCCCTGGCCAATAGCATTCAACTAATTGATAAATCCATGTTTCCTTAATATTCAACTGTGAATATTGAGATTCATAAACAATGAGAAGGCAAGAAAGGAAAAGAAAGTTTATTTGACTATTGAATGACTGATATGCATAAATAAATACTCGTCAACACATGCATGCTCATCTCTTTATATTAAAAGCGAAACATCTATTGACCAATAGTGTACATTCGTCCTTTAGGACATATTCTGATGGTCATCAAATGACCTTCTCATTAGGTCACTTCTGATTGGCTGGAAAATAAGTACGTAATTGATGAAAACACAGATTGTTTAGAAAATATGTGTAAATAGTTTATTGATTATATGTTTTCATGTTCTGCAATCCAAGTGAACAATAGGCTGTCTTCTCTCGTTTCTGTTCTGATCTCCGAATTTTCCGAATAGGCCACACTTCTTAACTTACTGAAACTATAATCTCTTCAACTGTTGACTCTTTAAAAACTTTCAGCCGATACTCTACTACACACTCTACTGATAACCAACCTCTTGAATAGCATCTATCACAACGTTATTCAGGATAAATACCCACAATGAGCTATTCTAACCATACTACTTAGTTTCCATTTTTAATCTTAACATAATCGATACTTAACCAAGGTGAATTTTGTAGTTACAATAACGAAGTCAAAACAGTTTTAGATTACTGTTCAAATTTAAAAAAGTGAGAATCATTTCAATAATTATCATAACACGGTTATATAATTAATTGACTACAATGAATACAATGAGTACTACTGTGATAAAATCTTTCATTTTAGGATGTGAAACAATTTGCAAATGATTTGGAATCGCGTAAAGCCGATGCAACTTATATTGATGAGCAATTAGATAAGGTTAGTTGAAGTAGACATATAAATAACTTTTTCTGATAAAATCCCAATAAGTGAGTTTTAATGATGTTTGAGTATATTTTCTTATGAATCGCTAAACGATTGACATCGTTCGCTGTGCATTAAGAAAATATCAACAACAAGACAGTAGTAGTTGTTCAAGGATTCGTTGTTCCCGATCGTTAGTTTTCGCAATCAAAAAGCTTAAAAATTTATAAGTTTTTGTATCTTGTTAATGTGATTTGGATTTTAATTAACCAAATACTTCCATCATAAGTGTATCTTTGATGTTTCTATATTTATTCACAAGTTGTTGTTAACCTCGGATAGTCTTTAGCATCTCATCCTACTTGAGATTCATCAGCTGAATGTATGTAAATTCGTGTTGGTGTTCACATTCCAACTCAAACTCGTTAGTGTTTTTACACATTTGAAATCACCAATCCATCATTATTAGACCACCATTAGAAACCTGAAAGCACTGGACAGCCGTTTCGTCCTGGTATGGGACTCATCAGCAGTGAGAATCCACAACTCCTGCACCTCGTAGGATTCGAAACCGGGACTATCGGTCTTGTGCGTGAACGCCTAACCATTGGACCACTTGGTCGGCATCCAAGGTGTTAATGTTTATCTGTAACTGATCTTGGGATTTTACGCGACCTCACCTATTTGTCTATGGTAGTTACTGCCTAGACCCGACAGGACTGAACTCCATTGGTCGCATTTCCTCACTATAGCTTCGAGAATTTCCTCACAAAGCTAGTCACTAGTGAGCATATTTTACGACATTTTCAATTAGAGTTATGGAGATTTGAAATCATCAATCAATCATTGTTAGATCACCATTAAAAACCTGGAAGCACTGTTTCATTGAACTCATGAACTGATCATTGTTAGACAACCATTTAGAACGTGGAACAATTGGATATCCATTTCGTCCTTGATCATTATTAGACCACCATTAGAAACCTGTAAACACTGGATGGCTTTTTCGTCATAGTATTGGACTCACTGCTGATGAATAATTTTTTAAACAGAATGATTGCTTACTAGTGAGTAATTCGAATCCTGTGAGGTGCAGGAGTCTTGGATGTACACTGCTGATGAGTCCCATACCAGGACGAAACGGCCGTCCACTGTTTCCTGGTTTCTAATGGTAGTCTAACAATGATTGATTGATGTTTCATTATATTTCGCTTCAAACCCCTAACTCGTTATTCTAAATAAGATCAAACACTACTCCTACATTCTATCGTCACGTATTCAAATTTTTTTAAAAGCAAATTTGACTGAAATTCAATTCTCATTGGATAAATGAAAGATTGAAACATCTCATTTTAAACAAACTGGTCATTATGTTTACTTTTTTCATTTTCTCCACGAGAATTATTCATTTTTACAATAATTCGATAAATAATTTTTCATTATGGACTTATGGAAATGTCTGTTTATCAGTGAAATCATAATTCAACCATTGTTAGACCACCACTAGGAAACTTGCAAGTATTGGATGGTCGTTTCGTCCTGGTAATTTGTTAAACAGAATGATTGCTTACTAATGAGTAGTTCATATTTTTTTGCTTCATTTAGTAGCATATTTTGATATTTTTAGTATTTTTACTCTGGATTTTATTTAAACATTCACTTACCTTAGAATTCTGAGGATTTTTGAGGATTTTTATTAGGATTTTATAAGTAGTAAAGCTATGAATTTTAAAGTAACCGGTTCAAAAATTTAACTAGATCTAAGATACTGATGACATTTCAATGGGTTGTTCAGCTCAACTACAATTTTACTTCACTAAATAAAATTCACTCATTAATTACGATAAATTCAAACCAACAGATTACTCAGAGTGAAAATAAATATTGTTTTTATCTTAAAAGTTTCTTAATGACTAATAGCAGAAGTCATAAATTTCATTTCATCCTGTTTGGGTCATGTCAGCTGGAATGTATCTACACTCAGTATATCTTTCTCCCTAAATAAAGATTCCGGTTCGAAACAGTCATTGAATTTCTCTACGTGTTTAAATTTTGTTTCTCTGTAATTTTTACTAAGCTACTACTGACCAAATATAATAAAACTTACCTACTGGACCCTAAATGTTAGTCACAACTTGTCGTAACTAAATTCAATATTGGAGACAACATGCTTCAGGTTACACTCATTAACTCATATTTTCCCACTAACTACTATAATCTCAATTAGGAAACTATTGAACAGTATAAGAAATAGTGAGAAAACGACCCAACAAGTGCGTAAAATGTACCTACTTTTAATAAGCATATTAACAACGAGTAGCAGTCAGTTATCACACAAGCTTCAGATTTAGTGAATTCGGATAATGAAACTAGAAGCGGATAGCGAGAGCATTTCAGACTGTTGCACTACTTGTAATGGATCATAGGCCGCCGATCAACTCTGTCCTGGACTTCCTTTTCCAGTTCTTCCCAGTTTTCGTTCATTCTTCTCATGTCTTTCTCTATTTCTCGGCATGTAATGTGTTCCTTGACTTTCCTCTTTTCCTTTGACTTGGAAGGTTCCAAATGAGGGCTTGTTTTGTGACGCAGTTGGGAATGCTTTCCTCAATGTGTGTTCTCCTATCCACCAACTCCAGTGTTTCTTCCTGATTTCCTCCTCCACACGCACAGTAGGTTGTTACTTGATGAAGTTTCGCCAATCAATCTGAAGTATTTTTTTTTCTAGACAACTTTTAATAAATAGTTATATCTTCTGAATGATGACCCTAATAATTAGACTACTTAAGTGTTATAATCTAGTCTGGTACAGTTTAACATTGATACCACAAACTGTGATCTACTGCACAGTAGCAATTTGTTTCAATGAAAAATGTATTCTCTCTAAAAAAGCAAACATATCACTTATGGAATACGAGAATATTCAGTAATCCTTATCTGATTAGTACCTGATTGATTGATTGACAGATTGTCAGCACTGAAATTGCCTAGCCTATTATCCATTTATCGATCATAACCAGGCAGCAGGCTTACAAGCACATACACCTAACTACATACACATTTACTACCATGTGTCAATAGGCAGATACTTTGTTTAAAAGAATGCAATAACAAACAGATTTCCAATTGTATCCATTGCAAAATGTCGACTACTTGTTCAATGTTCAACATCTCGATTTGTGTTTTTTTAAAACAAACGAATAAACTATTTTTGACCATTAATAGTATTAGCAGTAGTAGTAGTGTAGTGAAGGAGAACACAGGTGGGGCAACTGAATTGAATTTAACGAAAATTACAGAGTTACTCAGTAAAATCGGAAAGCCATATCGTGAATTGTTAATTTGCAAATCTTCAATCCATCATCAATCCATTGTCTGACATTTCACTATTTATGCGTTTCATACAAATCCCATTGTGTTCCAACTCTTCCTTTCTTAATCTTCCCCCATCTTCTGCTGCCAGACATTACGTTGACACTCACGTCATATGCTACTTATAAGTAGCTCACACCACAATATGACTATCAGTATCAATGTTAACCACAATTCATTAAGCTGTCGTCACTTTCAAAACAGAGACCCTAGTCAGTTAATATCATCTTCCGTATTCCCTGACTCGCTACAATATGCCGGATTTACTACTTCGGCCATTGTTCTTTCCCGATGGTCTGGAATGGGTACGGCATCTATCCGACGTGTAGCGTTTACTAGTTCCCACTGCTGTGACACGGCGGCAGGCACACTCGTTAAATTGCGACGCCAACAACTGTGCCCCCGATTCCCCATCCAGCAACATCGTGAGCTCCACAGCCAGCAACAACGGGTCACCATCAGTCGACAGCCTCGCCAACCGGAACCTCTGCGGCGCCTCCTCCCTGTCCACTGGGCCGACGAACTCCGTGACCGTCTCTCACGCCGTCTTCATTGCGGCACCGTTCAAGCTGTCGTATACAGCCTTTGCCTCACTTCCCCGCAGCGTCCCCAGCACCACCAACTCCGCCCCGGGCCCCTTCACACCCACCAGCTCCACCGCGGCCCCAAACTCTTACAGGAAGCTCCGCGAATCTCCGTCCTCAAACTCCTTCGGCCACGGGAGCTCCTTCCTTCGTGCAGGCAGCGACACCAAATGTAGTGAAGGAGAACACAGGTGAAGGCAACCGAATTGTATTTACCCGAAAATTACAGAGTTACTCAGTAAAATAGGAAAACCATATCGTAAACGGTTAATTTGCAAATCTTCCAATCCATCATCAATCCATTGTCTGACATTTCACTATTCATGCTATTTCATACAAATTCCATTGTGTTCCCACTCTTCTTCCTTTCTTGATCTTCCCCCATCTTCTGCTGCCAGACATTACGTTTACACTCGCGTCATATACTACTTATAAGTAGCGCGCACCACAGTAGTAGTGTTAAGCAAAATAAAAACAATTTTCCTTTCTAAGAAATAAATTTTTTTTTCTGTCTATAAAAATTTATTTTCAATTTTTCTACATAATCTAATCAAATAATTGAACATTGAATATAAAATAAAACCAATAAACTCAACAAATTCAAATAGACCAATCACAGATATACCAATCCATAAACCCATATTTCCACCAATATCCGATAATAATTGTGCCAATGAATATTCTTGTTCTTCACGTACTAATTTACCTTGTGGACTGCTACGTTCAATTGTCAATAAACCGAAATTATTACGCATTTCTGTTAGAATTTCTTGTGTATTAGTAGTAGTAGTAGAAGACTTGACATTTGTCTGTTTGAATGTAGTAGTATTCTTGATAGTGTTTCTAGTAGAAACATTATTATTATTCTGGTTAGTTTTAATGAATACATCACGAAATGTATTAATTAAGAATGCAGCTCTTGCTTCATTATACGTATCAGTCCATAATTCAGTCATTGCTATTCTACGTATACCCAAATGATTATATTGAACATGATCACAATAAGGTGATATACGATAATTATCACATTGTTTTGCTTCAATTAAACTCATATATAAACTT